ATGTCGCATCACCGGTTCTCGATGCCTGCACCTCCCCCAGCTGCCCTGGGGGATCCTCGAAGCACCTGGGAGAGCGCGAGAAGTGCCCATGCCTGTATGGGCACGCGAACAAACCAGCGATGGCCTCCAACACCTGAGGAGTCCAACCCCATTATATAACGCTTCTCTTTCCTTTTGCTTTCAAAGGAACGAACCTTGCGACCCTGGTAGGGGAAAGGATTGCTTCGTTATCTCTCTCAGTTCCATCATATGGGGTAAGTGAGACAATAGGCACCAACGGAGCAGCTCGGCCCGGACTCACCGAGGCACACCCACCGAAGGCCGTCGCCGTTGCCGGGGTGGTCATACCAATAGCCACCGGTCGCCTCGTTGCTGTACTTCATCCAGCCATTTCCTGGTTTTGGAGCGCCCCCTTTATGAGCACAGCAAAGTCCACGGGGTCGTCAAGTCTGGGGGTCGAAGGTGCAAACGGCGCAGAAGCAATCTTTATAGAGAACCATGGACGTTTCAATGATATTGCCTGGATGTCTTCAATGTTTTCCATCTAGTGGCAGAGATGACCCCCAGCAAACCGAAATGTTTTCCAGGCGGTCGCCTTCACACTGGTCCAGCGGATCATGCTTAAATACAAGTCCAAGTCTCTCAAGTGTCAGAAACGCATAGAAACAGCCATAGAAGGATAGTTTCACCCACCCCTCCATGAATCTTAACCAATGGTTGTTCTGTATTCACACCATCGAATCCTTGCTTGGACATATCTGTACGGAAGAACAACATGCCGAGCATGCCGAGCATGCCGTCTCCTCCGTCTGCCGGTGGCGGGTCAGGCTTGTCTGCGTTCGGAGGCCTTAGCATCCAGCGCTTTACAAAGGTGTTCATCGGGTCCTACGGCGTCCTACGGGGCTTGATGGTGTTTGTTTTGGACCTCCGTTGGATGGTCCAATTGATGCAAGGACGCCAGATTCTTCAAAGGAATCTGGCTTGGCAGAGACTCAATGACTGGACAGTCAATAGTTGGCATCCCTGGCAAGGTCATCAGAGCAAGAACAATACGAAGACAGATTATGCCAGACAATTACGACAAGCAACTATTGGATACTATCAACGTGTATCCATGGAATTTGCCAACAACACCAATGGCAATTCCACCACAATTGCTTCTACCAGCTGACAACACCACAGGCAAACAAGCAATTGGCACACAAGCTGACATTACAGTGGAAGACGCAAGCACACAGACAATACAAGAGACGCCACTGGCACTACCAGCACGAGCAATGCACCATCAGCCAATGGATATGACAATGGCAACATCACCATTGGCAACTTCACCCACAACAATGGCAAGACCACCACTGCCATTACCACCAGCAATCAAGCGACAACACGAGGAGCCTACAGGTGAAGCACAATCCAAACAATCAAGGACAGCACAGTCCTCAACAGCAGCAACCCGAGGACAAGATGAAGAACAACCAAAAGCAAAGATGAGAATACAAGCAGTGACAATAACCACAAAGAAAGGTGACAAGATCACCACAGCATCCTGTGAAGATGAACAAGAAGCAGACGTGGAAAGGATGCTACAAGAACCCTTCGTCTACGACAATGAAGGTCTTGATCCATTGAAAGTACAACAAGGAATGAAGAAAGAAGCACAATCAATGAAGACACAAGGAGTGCTCACAGAGATGAACTACAATGATGTTCCTGAAGAACACAAGAACAGGATCATAGAATCCAAGTGGGTCAACAAACCCAAACAAGATGAAGTGCGATGTCGCATAGTAGCAAAAGGCTACTTGGAAACAATCCAAGACCTTGACAACATCTATGCGAGCGCACCAATCTTTGGGATCTTACGTATCCTACTGACAGTGGCACAGCACAACCACTGGACGATACAAGCAGGAGATGTGTCAACAGCATTTCTACATGCACCAGCAGCGACAGACAATCTTTACATGTGGCCACCACCAGAACTATACCCAAGTGGTCACAACACAACCACAGTATGGAAGCTCAACAAAGCAATCTATGGACTACGATCAAGTCCAAAATCCTGGCAGGATCACTTTGCACAAGTCCTACAACAAATGGGACTATCTCGACTGACAAGTGAACCCAACGTGTACAGGAACAATGAACAGACAATGTTTGTGATGGTCTATGTGGATGACCTACTATTCCTGGGACAACTTGAAGTCGACAAAATTTTCAAAGAAGTACAAAAGAATGTACTGCTACGACCAACCGGCACATTGGGAATTGGTCAGACAATCCAATTCCTTGGCAGAGACATCCACAACAATGGAGACTTCTTTGAGGTGAGCCTCAAACCAGAATACATCACCACATTACTGAAGGAAACAAAAACGGAAGCAAGCAATCCAGCATCAGCTCCAGGGACGGCAACCCTGAAACAATCCACAAACGATGATGCACCTCTAGATGCACAAGAACATGCAGATTACAGGAGAGCAGTAGGAAAGCTTCAATGGCTGACCTACACAAGACCAGACATCAGCTTTGCAACAAAAGAACTGGCACGAGACCTACAACAACCAACACAACAAAGCCTACGCAAGGTGAAACACCTCCTACGATACCTCAGGGGAACACAACACTACAAGATGATCCTGAGGACAACACATACACCACAAACAAAGGAACCCATCGACCTCAACATTTATGTCGATGCGGATTGGGCAGGATGTTGAAGCACAAGAAAATCAACAAGTGGATTCATCGTGACAATGATGGGGTCCGTGGTACAATTTGGAAGCAGAACACAAGCAGTAGTAGCACTATCATCAGCAGAATGAGAGCTTTATGCAATTGGCACAGGAGCACAAGAAGGACTACATATAGCAAACTTCATCAAGGAAGCAACAACAACAAAGGTGAACATTCGCATACATACCGACAGCACAAGCGGCAAGAGCATAGCAACAAGAATTGGCTCATCAAAGAAAGCAAAACACATTGACCTAAAGTACCTCTTCATACAACAACTGGTGCAAAGCGGGATCCTATCAATACACAAGATAAGCACACATGACAACCCAGCAGACATACTGACAAAGTATGTCCCGGCAGAGGTGCTTAACAAACACCTCTACATGGCGGGCATTCAATGCCCACAACACCACAACTGAACGACGATCGTACAAACAGTTTCACAACCATGGCAGCATCTATGCGTGTACAATACACACACGGGGGCATCAAGCCATGGCACACTACTTTAGCTAGTATGTGCATACTATGTCATAGACAATATGTACTACAAGATCTTTAGTCTCACAATGGGCCCGACTTTTCTTTCGTCGTTTCGGAGTACAATTCGATGAACAATGTGTTTGAAGTTTTGCTTTCAGAATTTGGATGACAATGCATGTTTGGTTGACAATTTGTCGACAACTTTTTGACCGCTGCCGCTTCCCAGCTCACGAGCGCTGACAATCGGGATCGACTATTTCGAGGACAGTTTCAAGGGCAACAATGGCCATGGAGATGACGATTCCAGACTTTCACAATCAGCGTCGACTTCCCACAAACTCGACAATCTCCTTGTGGGAGGACCGAGCAGTCCTATACAATGAGAACAATATGGAGAAGCCAGAAGATGAAGAAGAGGAGAAAGGGACAAAGCGTCCCAGACAATCCTCAGAAGCCCATGAGAGTCAGATGGACGACATGAAGGGCTAGAACAAAGGTCCGACAATCTGCAGATCTCTAGCAATGACAATGTTATACGTGCGCCACGATGAGAAGGGCAACAATGCTGGAGAGACAATGGCAGAAAAGCTGTACAGACTTGCCTACAATGCCTGAACTGTTTTATGTACAATAATGTTCCTTTACTGTTTCAACAATGTTTGTATTGATGGTGTGATTCAACAATGAATCAAACCAAGGGACGGTGTCAAGATACAAGCTCTTTTACAATAACATATTTACTCCATCGTATTGTTCATGTACAATGACTTGGTGCTTCACAATGCACCCTGGATCAAAGGCCTTGAGCCTAGCCTAGCCTAGCTGAGCCTAAGGACAATTGCCCAGAGGAAAACAATACAGAGACGTGCACAAACAAACGACAAACAAACAGCTGCTGAATTTTACAGTGCGGCAGCCGCGGCGGCACACGAAGGGTGATGAGAAAGAGAAGGAACGAGACGATGGTGTTCCCAGCTACGACTCAAGCGTCCAAGGACACACCCGACAAGAAAAAAGAGAGAAAGAAAGAAAGAAAGAAGGAAAGAAAGAAATGTTCCCAGCTACGACGCAAGCGTCCAAGGACACGCCCGACAAG